TTTTCTTTGCATAAAACTCTCTCTTATACATGAGTTGCTGTGGATTTGTTTCTCCAAAGTACCTAGACTAATACAGGCCCTATTAGCCTGGGGGAAGGGCCCCTAGTAGCACAGTGAGTTAAACACTAGCTGGCTAGCCAGGAAATCATTGGTTCAAGAACATTAGCCAATCTGAGGCAGACACATAGGCAGTTTGCTTCTGTAATGTTAAGACGGTCTCAGAAACCCTATGGAGCAGTTCTACTCTGCCCTGTAGGGTTTATGAATCTGAATCCACTGAATGGCAGTGGGTTTGAGTACCGAGCTGTTCAGTTCTCTAAGAGCTAACTGTTCTTCCTACCTGCCACATGTTGCCCGTATGAGGACCCTGGCCTGTTCTTCCCTTAGCATCGCCATGGTCCAGGGAGGAGACTGTGTCTCTGACTCTACCGAGTCTGAGGGATCAGACCAGGATCTGTGATTCTGCTGCAATCAGAGGTACACTGAAATAGAGCAGCATCGAAAATCTACCTTGTGTTTGCAGTGTCTGGACATTGTGGCTCCAGTTCTTGATGTCTGATAAGAAAAACAGTATCTTAGCAAACTGAACATCTCTTGCCAGCATTTTTTTAAATTGTAAATTGGGTGCAGGTTTATAGAACAAATGAGTTGTCTTTCCAATGTTTTCTGAAAGATTATTTTGTCCAACTTTATCCTGCTCTGGGATCTGTCCAAATTTGTAAAACAATGACTTAAAAATTTAATCATTTTATAGGGGGCTTATACAATTCTTATCACAATCCACACATACATCCAATGTATCAAGCACTTTTGTACATTTGTTTCCCTCATCATTCTCAAAACATTTGCTTTCTACCTGAGCCCTAGGTATTTGCTCTTCATTTTCCCCCTTCCTTCCCGCTGTCCCCTCCCCCATGAACCCTTGGTAATTTATAAATTATTATTTTGTCATATCTTACACTATCCAACGTCTCTCTCCCTTCACCTATTTCTTCACTGTCCAAAAGCAATGCCTTTTAATGAGGTAAGTACTCAGTATGTATTCAGTCTCTGGATTGGAACTTAATGTTTTCAAAGCATTTATCTTCCCAAGCATTTTATATTTCATTGCCTTAGTAATTATCTCCTCAGGGGCAAAATGCTTAGAGCGTTTAACAGTAGCAAGGGGAGTAAAGCAGTGAAGTCCCTGGGGAATGCCAAAAAGAGACTTTGGGGACAGGGCGTGGCACCCCATCAGACTGGACTAGAAAACATTCCAAAAAGTCAACATACAGACCTGGAATTATTTATAGGCTTTTTTTTTTTTTGTCGGGTTTTTAAATTGTTGTTTTGTTTTCTATTGTTGCTTGGTTTTGCTGTCTTGTTTTGTGCTTATTTGTGAGGATAAACCAGCCCCTAACTCATCACGGGTCTGGTAGGTGCAATTGTACAGTGATAATAAGTAAAGATTATAGTAAAGTCAGAGAGCATGAGAGAGAGAAATAATGGAGTCAGACACATTTCATGGTAGCATGCTCACCGCAGCCTCAGTTGGTGGTCCTCGTGGAGAAAGGGAGGGGAAGGAGGACAAGGGGAAAGGGAACAGGGGTGAGAGAATAGGAAGGAGAGGGGGAACCCACAAGAGGCCAAGAGGGGGGAAGCCCAAGAGCGAGCTCTTATTGCTAACCCAGGCCTATATACCTTTGGGGGGAGTGCAAGCCCACTAATTACAGGTAAAGACATACGTCACAGGAAGGGGTTGCACTCTAGGTTATACAGTAATAGGAGGGGGTGATCGAGGGGTATACGTGCAATAGAAAGAAGAGGGTTTGGGGGTATACATGTGGCAAGATGAGCGGTTCCTAGATTCAGGATTAAGGTAGCAGACAGACATTGAGCTTCTACTCCAGTACTCCCTCAATGCAAGAACACTTCGTTCTAGTAACCTGGCATTCCTTGATGCTCACCTTCCCGACATGATCGCTGAAGACAACATGGGTGCATAAACAAATGTGGTGAAGAAAGCTGAGGGTGCCTGGCTATCAAAATTTATAGCATCTGGGATTTAAAGGCTTGAAGATAAACAAGCAGTCATCTAACCCAGAAGCAACAAAGTCCACATGGAAGAAACACCAGCCTGTGTGATCATGAAGTATCAATGGGATCAGGTATCAAGCATCAAAGACCCAGAACAAAAATTTTTATCAGTGTGGTTGAGGGGGCATATGGAGTGGAGACCTAAAGCCCATCTGTAGACAATTGGGTATCCCCTTATTCACAAAGAAGGGAAGATCCAGTCAGGGTGCAGTATAGCACCGATGAAACATACAACTTTCCTCTAGTTCTTTAATGCTTCCTCCCCCCCACTATCATGACCCCAGTTCTACTTTACAAATCTGGCTAGACCAGAGCATGTACACAAGTACAGATCAGAGATGGAAACACAGGCAATCCAGGACAGATAAACCACTCAGGACCAATAGTGAGAGTATCGATACCAAGAGGGGAAGGGAAAGGTGGTAGGAGAAAGGGGGAAGTGATCACAATGATCTACCTATAACCCCTTCCCAGGAAGGTGAAGAACAGAAAAGTGGGTGAAAAGAGACTTCAGTCAATGTAAGACATGAAAAAATAAGAATTTATAAATTATAAGGGTTCATGTGGGAGGGAGTGGAAAAAAAATGAGCCAATCCCAAGGCTCGAGTGAAAAGAAAATTTTTGTTTGTTTTTTATTTGTTTGTTTGTTTGTTTAATCATTTTATTAGGGGGTCATACAACTCTTCTCACAATCCATACACACATCAATTGTGTAAAGCGCATTTGTGCATTCATTGCCCTCATCATTCTCAAAACATTTTCTCTCCACTTAAACCCTCGGTATTAGGTCCTCATTTTTCCCCTCCCTCCCTGCTCCTCCCTCCCTCATGAGCCCTTGATAATTTACAAATTGTTATTTTGTCATATCTTGCCCTGTCCAACGTCTCCCTTCACCCACTTTTCAGTTGTCCATCCCCCAAGGAGGAGGTCACATATAGTTCCTTGTAATCGGTTCCCTCTTTCTTACCCACTCTCCCTCTACCCTCCCTGTATCGCCACTCACACCACTGGTCCTGTAGGGTTCATCCGCCCTGGATTCCCTGTATTTCCAGTTCCTATCTGTACCAGTGTACATCCTCTGATCTAGCCAGACTTGCAAGGTCTAATTCGTGTCATGATAGTGGGAGCAGGGAGGAAACATTTAGGAACTAGAGGAAAGTTATATTTTTCATCGTTGTTACATGAAAATGTATGATGAAAATGATGATGGCAACAAACGTACAAATGTGCTTCACACATGGATGGATGGATGGATTGTGATAAGAGCTGTACGAGCCCCCAGGTATATATATAATCTCCCCTAAGAGTGTGGTTCAGAATTTTGTGACTTGAGCCCAGCCTCTCATGCTGGCTGCCTCCCTCTTCCTCCTGCACACAAGGACACCTTGCTGAAACAATATGTACTCTCTTTTAGGGCTCGGTGGTCTTTGAGGACGTCACTGTGAACTTCACTCGAGAAGAGTGGGCTTTGCTGAGTGCTACTCAGAGGAATCTCTACAAAGATGTCATGCTGGAAACCTTCTGGAACTTGGAATCAGTCGGTGAGGATGGCATCATTTATTCACTTAGTCTTTTTCGGAACAAATATATCTTCCATGTGGTCCTCTTTTGATTTGGACTGAGATATAGCAGTGTGTTAGAGGAATACTTACAGGCCTATTTCCCATGAAATGGTTTTATATTAAACTGACTTTTGAGTTCTCTTGAATTTAAAAGCTCCTGAAATTTAGAAATGTAGGCATCAACTCTGGAACATAAAGGAGCTTTGTGGTTTTGAGCCCTGTGAGTTATACGCTAATTCATTTCGAACACAGTGACTTTTCTCTTTTTTTCTGCAGTTGAACTTACTCTTATCCATCTTCAGCTGCCATGAGATCCAAAGTACTAGTTCATTTCCTGGAAATATTTTGTTGCCCTTCATAGTCCTTCCCAAGCATAACCCTTTATTACATTAGCACAATATCAGCTGTGCAATTCTCTGGCTTCTCCCAGTGGGGCTGGGGACAATAGAAAGAGGCACCTTTGACTACAGGAAGGCAATAATCTTTAAGTATAGAAATTAGAAAAATCAATTCATCTTTGAGAAGGATAACTTTAATTTGGGGGATACGTGTTCTCAAATGCCTAGCAAAATGTACTCTGCAGTATATCTTTTTCTTCCTTTTCACTTTTCATTTATTGTCCTATTTTCTTTGTGAGAGGAAGACTTGCCTTTTAAAAAAATAGCATTTGGGCATATGTGTTGCTCTTTTCTTCCCGACATTGCTTTTATGCTAATATCCTATTTATAGACACACCAGTGTCCATCATTTAGGAAGTATATCTTAGTAGATGGAGTCTGTGGTTGGTGCGAACTGCTAATGTTCTTGGAATCTACAGGAGAGATTAGAGGTTTAGATCTATCTAGAAGTAGATCCTTTGAAGAACATCTTTGTACTCTAATACTTAAAAGTAGCAAGCATTTTTCAGGTTTTAGGATGACAATCTCAAGGGACACCAACGCCAGTTGCTGCAACAGACTTCACAAAGACAGTGGTGGTTCACAAGGACGGTGGTGAGCAGTAACTAAGGTCTAAGCATTTGTGAGCAGTCATCTGAGATGCAATGATTGGTCTCTCCCAGTTTGGAGCATATGAATGATGAAAATCCAAAGATACATGAAAACAATTAGTTTAGTGGACCAGGCAAGCATCAGTGACCAAAACCCTGAGGCCTGAACATATTGCTCACCTACTAGTAAAGTAGTGCGCAGAATGACAAAATATGGACCAAAACTCAAAATCATAAAGAGGCCAGACATACTTGTGAGTTAGAGACTGCTGGGCTGGGATCCCCAAGACTTTGACCCTTTGTCACCCTTCCTGCCTGGAACTGAACTTGCTTCCATGGTTCAATATTTATCCAAATATGTCTGTGAAGAAAAATCCAACAATACTAGTGAGGTACACATACCATAAAGAGCCAACCATTTAAGACCACAGGACAGCATCGAGGACATCGTTCAGAAGGCTTAGGAAAGTAGGAGGAGTGAAAACAGAGATGAAAAGATTCCTTGTGAAGTTTCATTATAAGGAGATGAAACAAAATGTACAAGAATTTTCAAATGTCAAACTGATGATCTGTTTGGTAAAACTTTGTATAATTCACAATAAGAAGTTCATTTTTAAAAGCAGCCTTTAGCCACCATATGGATCACAGTTCTATACCAAAATGGGGTCAGTTCTACAGCAGCAGACTTCTTAGTGAATGGACTGCCGTTTTGATCCTTTCCCACACCTGTTTTTGGCACAGCCCCCAGTCTTCCTTTGCTTACCTGTTCCCCATGACTTTAAAATATTATTTAGTCTAGGATGTACACTGGTACAGGTAAGAGCTGGAAGCACAGGGAATCCAGGACAGATAAACCCCTCTGGACCAATGGTGAGAGTGGTGATACCCGGAGGGTGGAGTAAAGGTGGGGTAGAAAGGGGGAACCGATTACAAGGATCTACATATAACCTCTCTGGAGGTCGGACAACAGAAAGGTGGGTGAAGGGAGCCATCGGATGGTGTAAGATATGACAAAATTAATAATGACTTGTAAATTATCAAGGGTTCATGAGGGAGGGGAAAATGGGGAGGGAAAGGAAAAATGAGGAAATGATGTCAAGGGCTCAAGTAGAAAGCAAATGTTTTGAGAATGATGATGGCTACAAATGTGCTCGACACAATGGATGTATGTATGTATGGATTGTGATAAGCATTATATGAGCCCCCAATAAAATGATTTTTAAAAATTGTTTAGCATTCTGCCCAGTATATGAAAAGGAATCCAAAATGGCCCTTTTTTTTGGTCCCCTTTTCCACAAACTATATTGTATTATCCATTTTTACAGATAACTGTGTTCAGACTAAAACCAGTGGATCAAATCCCCAGCAAGACATTTTTGAGAATGAAATCTCTGATGAGAAAATAAAAAGTTTCCTAAGTTATAATTCCTTGTTTGATTTGGAAGGAAAAGGGAAATTTCAGGACATTCAAGATCACCCTGACATCCAGAAGCAGCATTCGAGGTGAGTAATATCTCCTTACACAGTATATACTATCTAGAACAGAAAGAGAAAAAGTGAAGCCTAGCTAAAGTATGTACTCACAACTTTCCCAAGACTATAGCTTCATACATATGATACAGACCTGAAGCATCTGAACTATATCTCAGTTACAAGTAGTGGCCAGGAAACCCATAAGAAACAGTGTTTGGATAATTACTTTAATCAAAGTCTCAGTCAAGTTTTCTTGTGATTTCACTTTGAGACAGCACAGAAAACATACCCATACACTGGCAATAGGAACCATGTGGTCATACTAATCACTCACTTGCTTCTTATGTTTAGGGGACGTGAGAGTGGTCACAGAGATCAGAAGATGCCTGTGTGTGAAGTATGTGGGAAAACTTTTATGCATTCCTCATTTCTTAAGCTACATTTAAGACAACACAGTCGAGAGAAACTCTATGAATGTAAGGAATGTGAGAAAACCTTTGGTTGTTATTCCTCCCTCCATGGACATGAGAAAACACATGGTGAACAGAAAACTTACGAATGTAAGCAATGTGGCCAGGAGTTCATCTGTTCCAAATCTTTTCAAACACATGTGAAAATGCACAGTGAAGAGAAACCAAATGAATGTAAGCAGTGTGGCAAGGTCTTCGTTTGTCCAAAATATTTTCAAAAGCATGTGAAAATGCACAATGGAGAGAAACCTTATGAATGTAAACAATGTGGGAAAACCTTCATGGTTCTCTCATACCTTGAAAGTCATATAAGAACTCACACTGGTGAGAAACCTTTTGAATGTAAACAATGTGGGAAAACATTCAATTGGCCAAACTCTTTACAAGCACATATGAAAACACACTCTGATGAGAAGTCCTATGAATGTAACCAATGTGGGAAAATGTTTATGTATTCCTCCTCCCTGAAACTACATTTAAGACGTCATAGTGGAGAGAAACCTTATGAATGTAAAGAATGTGGGAAAGCCTTCAGTTGTCCCACTTACTTTCGAGAACATGTGAGAATGCACACTGGAGAGAAGCCTTATGAATGTAAGTACTGTTGGAGAGCCTTCACCTTTTACTCATCCCTTCAAGAACATCAGAGAACACACACTGGAGAGAAACCCTATATATGTAAGCAGTGTGGAAAAGCTTTTACATGTTACTCTGCCCTTCATGGACACGAGAAAACACACAGTGAACAGAAACCTTATGAATGTAAGCACTGTGGCAAAGGTTTCAGATGTCCCAAATACTTTCGGCAACATGTCAACATGCACAGTGGAGAAAAACCCTATGAATGTAAAGAATGTGGGAAAGTCTACAGTATGCCTGCAAACCTTCGGCAACATATGATAACACACAGTGGCAAGAGACCTTATGAATGTCAACAATGTGGGAAAAACTTTAGTTGGTCTACCTCTTTGCGATTACATATGAAAACACACTGTGATGAGAAACCTTATGAATGTAAAGAATGTGGGAAAGCCTACAAGTGTCTCATATCCCTTAAAGGACATATGAAAAAACACATTGTAGAAAAACTTTGACTACAAGGCATATTGAAAAGCCTTATTTCACCCTAAAAGCCTTGTAAAACACACTGCACAAAACCGTTTTAATGTGGGAAGACCTTCTGGTATTGCTCTTTATTTATTGTACTCATAAAAAGTACCAAGAAGTTATTTATTGCCTTTGTAGACACCTCACCCTTCTTATAAATCACTTCTGTACTAATTTATAGTTTGTTTCTAGTGTAAACATCAGAGATAATAATCGGGCGTCCCTGAGTAGTGCCTCTAAAGAATGGACTGATCATTTTACTTCCCAAAAATTCAACCACTAAAATGTCTACAGAGTTGTACTCTTAATACACGTGGATCTTTCTCTGAGCCAGAGTCAACTCAAGAACAAATGGGCTTGGTTTTCATGCATTGTTTCAGATGTACCTCCTATTTCGTTATATAAAGCTTTATTGTGCATATGTATAAAGCTTGTTTGCATTACTTTATCTTTTGGATCTAGAAGTTTTGTTTTAGTATGAACAACATGATATTTTGTATGAAAAGATCATTTTTCTATTATGTGCTCTCTTGGGTTGAGGAGGTTCCCAGAACAGGTACCCCAGGTCCAAGGAATATTCTTGCAGCACTCCTGAAGCATTTTTCTTGGTGACCTTAGATTTCCCTCTCTGCCTCTGGGATGCCTCATTTTAAGTATAGTTAATGGCCAAACAGTCCAATCCTCCAGGTTAGGGATGTATACACCCTATTTTCATGGTCCCGCCTCCCCAACAGTACCATATCATTTATTTGCATTATTATCGAGCTATGCAATCCCTGTAGTGGTCCACAAGCACCTCATTTACATAGTCCTACCCTGTTGTTAAGAATCACCTGTAGCACTGTGAGATAGGTAAAGACTTTGTTGGCAGTTGAAACCCACCATAGAAGGAAAATGTGGCTGTCCACTTCCATAAAGATTCTCAGAAACACTATATATTGTAGTTAATTAGAATCTACTTGATGGCTTCCCCCCACTCCCCATATTAACATTTGACAGAAGAAAGGCAGGCACTTGCTAGAAGTGCCATTTTAACTCTGTTTTACAGGTTTGTTCCTGTACTAGTGTTACAATTCCTTTATTCGGCCCTGACAAAATTTACTGTTCCCAAGTTGGGAAAAAACTGCGTTCCCTGAGGCTGTATTGACTAGGCATTTTTTTGTTTGTTATTTCCAGGATTTAAATAAGCACAAGTATGTATATAAGTAGGTTGTGGGAGTTTTTACAGTTGAGTCTCCTAAACATGTTTAATACTTTCAGTTTTACGTGTGATTAGTGGGTAGTTATTTCTACTGCTTATACATGGTTCTTAGCAACTAGTTTTTGCTTTTAGTCATAGGTCTGTGTATGTTTCTTAAAGAACTCTTAAATCCTGTTGTATATTTATGAATGTCATTTTTGTGTCATTATTGAGCCAATGTTAACACGTCCTGTTCTGATGATGGACTGTTATTACTTCATCCTTGTAATTGTGTTTATTTTTATAAATTTACCATAAGAAAATAGTGCTAAATGCTAAACAAACCTTTTGACATTTTTTTCTGCAACATCTTTATAGCTACCATCTCTAAAACAATTTTTATTTGTTGCTAAGAATGAAAATGTACATTTTATGTCAATGCCCTCTAGCCAAAGGAAGAACATCAGAAACACACATCCTATATCCATAATTGAGAATCCCGACTTTATTGCAAAAGGGTGAGGATTACACACCATGGATTGACCCTGGATGTCTCATGATAAGGGTGTTATAGCTTTTGGGAGTGTGTAAATCTGACAAAGTATAAGGAGGCAGGGCTTTGCACTGAGGAAGGGTGGGTAATTTCCATGATTGGGAGTTTTGATTTCTATTTAAAACAGTGGAAATTGGTGGAAGCTAGAGCTGTTACTGGAAAGCAGCATCAATCAGCCACGGTGGCCACGAGGAAAGGTGGTAGGTCATTTTTCTATGACTCTTGCTCAGTTTGTTTTTGTCATGACCCATCCTTGTCAGGATGGCACTGTCTGACATTGTTGTTTCATAAAGCTGTATTCCAATCAACACCATGATACCTTGTCTCTTCAATGCCAACCAGCTCTTAGCAAGGTTAACACCAGGTCTTCAGCATCATGGCAGGCCCCATGTGTCATGGTAGTTTTCCTGTTTCATTCTTTTTTTTTTAATCATTTAAAATGATTAAACTCGCAGTCCTGGAGCTCCCCTAACCCCTAATAAAGCTCTTTCTGCTTCTGAAAAAAAAAAAAAAAAAAAGATTAAACTCATCACCATCCATACATGCATCAATTGTATAAAGCACATTTGTACATTCATTACCCTCATCATTCTCAAAACATTTGCTCTCCATGTAAGCCCTTGGCATCAGCTCCTTGTCCCCCCCTCCTCCCTGCACCCGCCTCCCTCATAAACACTTGATAATTTATAAGTTATTATTTTGCTATATCTTACACTGTTGAATGTCTCCCTTCAACCACTGGTAGTTTTCCTGTTTCATAGTCATTTTCCTACTTTACAATTTCTTCCTTGTAGAGGAGGGCAGATAACATTATTCAACAGGCTATTAATTTATATCCTGCTAGAAAATTCTCATCTTTAATACATCTTGATCAGGTGTTTGTCTGCAGTGCAGTCTATAATTGGATTAATGTTAGTCTCTCCTTGTTCTTTTTGTTTCTAGATGAGTTCTTATGTGACCACGGCTTTGCAGTAACCTTTAGTCCTCTGGCCAGTTAATGGTGCCCACTGGACCCAGGGAGAAAAATGTTCCTAGTTCTAGATATGTTCTTTAAACAGGAATATAAACAGGATATACATCTTGATTTCCAAGCACAGACAATGTAAACATGTTCTAAAGGTCACTGAGTATTTACTAGATTCGTTGAATATTTTTATATTATGGACTGTTCCGTGGTTAGATGCCAAATCCCTTTGGATTCATGTTGTCATTCAGTGCCGTTGAGTTGGTTCCAACTTACAGTAACCCTTTGCACAACAGAATGAAACACCCCTGATCCTGTGCCTACCTCAGTGTTGGTCTTATGTTTGAGCCTGTCGATGTAGCCATTGTATCAATCGATTTTGAGTTTCTTTTTTTATATATGTAAATCATTTTCTTTGGGCTTGTACAGCTCATCACAATCCATACATATGCCCATGTGTCAAGCACATTTGTACATTATGTTGCCATCATCATTTTCAAAGCATTTTCTTTCTACTTGAGCCCTTGGTATCAGCTCATTTCCCCCCCTTTCCCTCCCTCATGAACCCTTGATAATTTATAAATTACTATTTTATCACGAGTCCCTATCTTTTCACAGTCCCAATACTTTACCAAGCATCCTGTCTTCCTTCTCCAGGGAATGGTCTCTGTTGACAACATGTCCAAAGTATACGAGACGGAGCCTTGCCATTCTTGACCTAGATTTGTTTTTCCTTTTGAAAGTTCTTGGTACCTTCAGTACTCTCCGGCAGAACCCTAATGCAAATGCTGTGGTCAACTTTCCCGTGCATATGAGGTGTTTGAAAATACCATGGCTTTGATCAGGCATTTAAGTCCTCAAAGGAACATCCTTGGTTTTCAATACTCTAAAGAGGTCTTGTGCAGTAGATTTACCCCATTGAACACATCTTTTTATCTCTTGACTGCTACTTCAATTAGCATTGATTTTAGATCCAAACAAGATAAGATCCTTTTCCTCTTTTACCTTTTCTTCATTTATCATGATGTTACCCCTTGTTCCCTTTGTGAAGATTTGGGTCTTTACACTGAGCTGTGCGTTAAGCTGTACTGACTGCAGAAACAAGTCCAGTGACATATGTACAAGAGAACTTCATAACGAAAAGGAATTATATAATTATATATTAGGAAAGCATTCTAGCTCAGTCCAATGCAAGTCCATAAGTCTGATACTCGTTTATATGTTTTCAGACTCACGCAGACACATGAAATGATGGGGAATGCAGTTAGATTGCAGGCAAGTGGGTGCAGGGTCGAGTGGATCC